AACTAAGGACCAATAGATATGTAATTTTTTATGAGGCTAGAGTTTAGGACAGGTCTGAAGCCTAGCATTTGGACGGTCATCGGTTAGTATTTAGCTGGCTAATCACAATTTTGTGTCCAAGATTACCTACATAAAAAGCAATCTCATACCTTTGCACTGATGTTGATTTAGCTAACGAAATCAGAATGCCTATTAACACAACGTTGACCTCTTGGTTTCTGTCAAAAATTCAAATAAAATAAAATGTTATATATGCATGGAAATTTTTTTATATCTCTGTAATGTTTTATATTTTATATTTATGTTCTACCGAAAGAGCGAACTAGGTATTTAAAGTAGTAGTAACATCTGCTTCTTCAAATACCGATGATTTTTAGAGATCGTATATATTTTAAAAATATTAGTTTCAGATCTATGAAGATTATTCGAAATGAAAAGTTTCAATATTTCCTTTTATTTTTTATTTCTTAGTGGGTTTTTAGATCAGTAGAAACTTCACCCCAAATTGTCGTGTTGTAAGGTATAAAGTGGTTGGCCGCTATTGTCTACATAGGTTCTCGTTTCGTATAATCGCAAATTATTTTCGATATATTTTAAAGAGCGTTTCCTTATAAGAATATGCAAGTACGTCTTGACTGATAGAATTTCTATCGATATTTGACGTACAAATAAATTGATAATGCAATTGCTCCTATTATATTTATTTGATATTGAAAACAACGATTCTCGTCTCTTTAATATTATATGATTTTATCATGCAGCAAGTCCTACCTTCAATCCAACTTATATTGCTTTAAAACATTTCCATTTAATTAAATCTACCTCCTTACCTTGGTGTTCATTTAATATTCACTTCTAACACATGCAACGAATTCATTTAATTTTGCTACAAGATTATTCATTTTTTTTTTGAAGAAAAGAAACTTCAAAAGCAAACAAAATTACTGCATTTCAAATGACTATACGGGTAATGGTGCTCTGCTGCTCATTGCTGGTACATTCTGGAACATGCATTTTTGGGGCGAAAATTTATTCAAGACAAGCATATAAGCAATGCCATCGGAAGTTGTTTCTGCTTCTACTCAAGTTTTGCATAATTTCAGACATTTATGTTATGCAAATGGCAAGTTGGAAAATTCGAATACTGGGCAAAAAAAAAAAAAAAATAAATGGAAAACACAAGCTATGAAACTTGACTTGGAGAATAAACAGACGTTCGTAGTTTTGGTGTTGTTCTTTTTGAAGAGGGTATTTGCTTACAAAAGAAAGTATTGTCTACAACACTTTATGAACCAATGAAGTGATACTGGCCGGATGTTGTTTAACCATTGGCTGTGAGCACTTCATTTCATTTCTTTTTTTTTCTCTCTCTCCCTCTCCCTTTTTTGTTGATTATATAGTTTAGCACATCTAGCCAATGCATTGTGAGTGGCAATATTATTGCTCCTACTGTTCTGATATTTAACACTTTCCAGTCTGTATTTGTTTTCACATTTCAATTCATGCATTCATAATGCCCTGCCAACGATGTATATTCAAATGTTTGTTATCTTTTCAAATGTTTTGAAGTTCAGTGTTAGTATCTTCATGAACATGTCCTTTGGCATTTTACGTGGTTGCAAGGACATGGTTGCAATAGCTTCCAAATGGTTATCTATGTGAACGTATGTGTGTCTGTTTATCGTTTACAAACCAAAAATCCCTCATTTATTGACATATTCAAATGCAATTTGTATCTGAATTCACAAGTAACCACATTAATTAAGCACACTTAAAGGCAAGCAGAGATTGTGTTTATGTTTGGATGTATCTAAGAAGGATGCTGGCACCATAACTAGAAATGTACTTAAATGAAATTAGTTAATTCACAAAACCTACAAGGGATTGAAGCAGAATCTGATAATAAATGGTTCGAAACGTAGAATTTTCAAATTTCCAAAAATTTCCATTTGAGGAATGCTTCAAGAGCCAAATGTGGTATATATAATGCGGAATCGATAATCATGATTTTTCGTACAAGATTCATCTTAAATATAAATCTCTTGAATTTAAATAGATTTTAATAGAGCCTTAGTCCCCAAGAATATTTTTTTTTAAAGAAGTTACCAAATGTGAAACCTTTGAACGCTATAATATATTTGAAAGCTCCGATAGGTCTAAACTCATTTTTTTCGATTTCGTTTTAAATATAACGCCATAGAGCCCTAGGTATTCGAAATAAATTCACACAAAATTTGTGGTAATTTCGACCCACTTAATATTACCCTATGGCCATTAAAAATGATAGGATTCTGCTATGTTCTCAACTCTATATTCACGCAAAACTTCGTGTCGATTGGCTTTTGATTGTAAGCTGTAGGTCCATTTCAAAAACAATAGGCTTCAATTCTGAATCTAGGATCGGACATCGGAAATTAGGATCGGACGATAATTGCGATCTGTATATACAGGGTGAGATAAAAACTGCACCAAAATCAAATACGATAATATTTATATATTTTTTAAATTTTATTGAATGAAAGCAAAAAATGTCGGAAATGGTCGAATTGGTCACCTTTGGCACGAATCATGGCCTTCAAACGGCCAATGAAACCGTCACAAGCTGCCCGAATGTTACTCTGAGGTATTTTGGCCCATTCCCGACGAAGCGCTTGCTCCAGTCACAATAGTCCAACGGATTGGTATCCGGAGATTTTGATGAAGATGAAGCGAGGAACCTCATTTTGTAACCATTCTTGGGTGGCGCGTGCTGAGTGCTGTTAGAATGTCCAAGGTCTGTGGCCAAAATGTTTGGGCACTTTAATACACCCTCCAGAATAATTTCGCGATCGATTAATACAAGCGGAGAGCGACCATTGGGTATTATGGCGGCCCACACCATCACCATGGCCGGCGCTTGAGTTCCGGTGTCCGGGGGCCAACCGAAGATGCACATTTTCAGCTGGCCTCTTTGGCAAGTAAACACGATCATTTTGTTTACAAACAGCTGAACAACGAATGTTTTCTCATCGGAGAAAACCAAATTCGGCAGTTCACCACTTTTGGCCAAGCGAAGCAACTTCTTATCTCTTTTGAGTCTATTTTCTTTCTGTTGCGGTGTAAGTTCTTGCTCTTTTTGGAATTTCAATAGCTTTACCCCGAGTTCATTTTTCAATATTTGCGGAATGGAATATTGCGATATATTCAGCTCACGAGCCATTTTTCGGCCACTGCGACGCGGGTCGCTTCTTTACTTTTCGAACCACTTCTGCTGATGTTGGGGTTTTCTTCAGTGAACTTTGCGTGCACCTTTGCTTGACTACGCTAAGAGTATCACGGTAACGAGTGATGGTACGAGACACAAAAGATTTATTCACATTTAAATGCTGCAGTGCTCTAAGGATAGCCACTAGTGGTTTTCCAACCAAATATAAAGAAATCACACTATCACGGATGAATAACTTTTTTCAGGAAAATTCTCAGCAAAATGGGAGCTATAGTTAAATCTGAATCGATTTTCACCAAATTTGCTGTACTTAATTCTGGACTGAATTCTGTCGGATACATATGGGAGCCATATCTAAATTTTAGCCGATTCTCACCAATTCCAATAGGGTTCGTCCTTGGTCCATACGAATATTATTCGGGAAATTTCATCTCAATCGGATAATAAGTGTGATTTTCATTAAAAAGAAATCGACTTAGAAAGTGATTCTATGAATATCCTCGAAAGTAACTGCGAGTCTATCTCGCTTCTTTCTCCATTTTACCTGCTAATGAACAAAGAAATAATTCCCTTACCACTATGTGGTGTCTTCTGGCATATTTAGGCTCGATTTTCTTAAATATAATCGTTTTCTCCCAAGAGGTCTTTCCGAATGGTGGTTGTCTAATAAGAGTAGTAACTAACATCACTTTCTATGTGTTTGTTTCACTTTCGTTTACATATATATTGTACCTATTTTGCTGTATATCCTATATCCTTTCAGTGTATTAGAGATTTCTCTGGCATTAAAAATATTCGCTGTTAGTGAAAAATGTCGCATATTTTTTTAATTAAAAAATTTAGTCTCTTTTACAATCGAAATATTATCTGATGAATAAACAAATTGTCAGGCTTCTGCCCAGCTCTAAACTCTAGTCTCTTGCTAAAGCTTACGTTGATTGGTCTAAAATTGCTGTATACAAAATCAAGAAATTTTTCTGTTTTTGGTCGATTTTAATGAATATTTTGCGATCGTATTTAAAAGCAATAGGCTTCTATTGCAAACATAATCCAACTCGTTTTTAACTTCCGTGAAAGTCGGGCCATGACTACGACCTGTAGCGTAATTACAATTTAACATGGACACACATATGTAGATAGACTCAGCTCGACGAGATAGGAAAATTCGTATATAATATCCTATGTGCAGGACCAAAGTTTCGTGATATGACATAATTTAATACCCCTAATACGTAGTATTGTAGGGTATAAAAATGCATTACATATCATTGGTTTTTAAAATGTTAAAATGCTTCATTGTAAAAAAATTTCATTGTACATAGATGTATCTAGCTCCCGAACTGGAAGTGAATTCGTAATTTTCTGACCACTAACAATAATAAGTAAAAACAGATTTAGTGTAGTGTTTCTTCACACTTTAAAGATTTTATACTAAATTTAATTTTATTTTTTCTTTTGCATACGGCTAAAATAAATGTGAACTCTTTTAGCTTTTCGCCATAGTTTTATTTCATTTAAAGTTGTTGTAAAACTAAAAAGGCTACCATTATCCCCTCTTTAGAATGTATTTAAGCTACTTTGTGTTTTAATGTTGCAATTATTTTTTTTCTGTGTGCAGTTTTAACAAAACTTCTTTTGTGCATTTCTTTTATTTTCACTGAATATTCGCTGTGCTTTGTTGAATATAATTATTTGCTTTTTTTGCGAAGTTAACTACTTTGTTTAATTGTTCTTTTTAATTTGTTTTGCTGAGAAAATTGTTAACAAAGTTTTCATATTCTTTTATCACTTTTAGGGTTTTATAAAAATCTACAAACAGTTCTTTCCCCAAGGTGATCCCAGTAAATTTGCCTCACTAGTGTTTCGGGTATTTGATGAAAATAATGTAAGTTAATTTATTAAAAAGTAATTCAATGCCAAGAATTATGTAAAATACACTAACCTATATAACAATTATATAATATCATGAAACCATTCATAAACACACATAATTTCAAAAATTATTTTTTAAAGATTTATTTTTAATAAATGCATATATATATATATATATATATATTTAATTTTAGATAAAGAACGAAAATAATCTTGCGTTGAAATGTTCATTAAAAATCTTAACGTTCATACTGGCGTATGCGTATTGGATATCAATATTATAATCATGTATACGCCACACAATACCAAAAACACATTGAAGGCACATTTGTATGTGTCGCTATGATTAGTGAATATCCAATAAAACGTCATTCAATGAATTCCTTTTTTTGGCTAATTAAATTAAATTTTTAAGAAATGAATTTAGAATGACTTTTTTCTTCCACGTTCACTTAGACATATGGACATACAGAAACAGTCTTTAAATCAGGAACTGAAATAAACTTTATTGCAATCGGATAAATTTTAAAAATGTTCCCTAAATTTGTGTTGATGCAAATTTCAAAGAAAATAATTGTATCCAGGTTAAAAATGATTAGAATGTTTTTATCTAATGAGAATTACCTAATGAGAGTAAATACGGTATGAACATTAAATAAACATCGATTTATTTTAAATACATAAAAAAGAAATGCTTTTGAAAAATGAAAAATATATTTTTGCCTGGAAGTCGTTGCAATCGATATTTATAACTTTGAATTAGTAGAAAAAAATTTGAGTCGAATCTGGAGAATTTCTAGTGTATAATTCGCATATGCTAATTTGCAATAAGTTCGAAATATATACTACTTTCCAGAGAACGGCCCTTGTAAGCCATCATCCACATCAAATATGCCTGATGAGCCGCTTAACCAACGGCGAAACGCGTCGCATAGTGGTGAGTGTGTGATAGTGTCTATCTGGCTTTCCTTTTCACTGCAAATTTCAGATCATTAAGCTCGTCTCGAAAGAGAAAACAAACACTTAAATTAGAAAATATAATAGGTTTGTTCAAATTCCAATTTTTCTTGACCAATCCAATTTTCGTTATAAATTTCCTATTTTCTAAAATACCAAAAAAAAACTTGGTAAAAATGGTCAAAACAACATTAAATGCAAAATTAAAAAAAAAATGGACTTTGGAGCTTAGAAAAATTCTGTACAGGGAAAAGATTCTGACCATCCACTATGCAATGTCGAAGTAGCAAAATTCATTAGTCCCCCAATCTGTGACATTTTTAGAGATAGTGTGGCAATGCATTTCTCGAAATTTGTTGGTAGTTCTCCAGTAAACAGTCAAAATTGTTTAAATATTACAAATGTTATATAATAGATAGGAATTGCAATCCTTAGTCCAAACATGGGATGTCGTGATATCTATGCAAAGCTTGTACCAGGTGCGAAAACAGAACACATCCTGACACTACTTCTGGTACCCACAACCATGAATTAAACTTTTTTTAAGTCGTAAATGAGCCACGTTGTGCCAAGTTTTTTTTTTTAACCTCCCCATGTTCTATATTCTGATTACTTTATGCACTCTTTTCAGCAGAATTATTAATAAATCGGTTTGTAGAGTTTGCACAAAGTTTTAGCTTCTGTGATAGAAGACTTCTGGAATAGGTCCCTGAGTTATAATATGGCTCTCGTATTTTTAAAAATTTTATTCACGCTTAATACGACCAAAATCTGCCTAGTGGAAACAACTGTTTTAGGCCCTAGGTCCTTTTGGACCAAATCCCTTTCCGTCCGTCCGTCTCTCTGCCTGGTGCGCACAATAACACTCGAAGGGAGTATCCGATTTGGTCCAAACTTTTTAATTCATAATATTATTGTCAAACTTAAATCTTGTTGGGAGATTGGCAACATAGTCCACACCTTCTGGTATCTCCCCCACAAAAGGTAAAAATTTCCAAGAAAATAATTCACCTCATAGGAAGAGGAAGCATAATTCGATTTTTGGAAACAATGACAAGTATATTCTTGTCAGTACTAGGTCAGGTGCGAAAATGGACAATCAAATACCTGCCCACAAAGGGTCAATGTTTGAAATAATTATAACTGATATAAAATTTGAAATAAGGGTCCGAATATTTTCGAAATTCACACATCTCAATATTTCTACTGAAACAAGATGGTGCGGTGATGGAATATGTTAGACTACACCTTCTGGTACACCAACTTAACTCCCATGATCATGAGAGAATATGGGAATATGGTACGATGATGTATTATGAAGGACTACACCTTCTGGTATACCACCTTAACTCCCACTCTCACAGAGGGCCAACATTTTGGACAACCAAAACTCCCATACAATGCGAAATAGTCATCCGATTCATTCTAAACTTCACATATTCAAATATTTCCACTAACACGAGATCTGGTGTGAACATGGAATATATCGGGTTATTCCTTGTGGTTGACCCGTCAAAGGATCAACATTTTGAATAATTATAATTTGAAAAAAAAAATATTTTAATTGCAATGTTAATTCCTGGTAAGGGAGTTACCAGAAAGAGGAGAAATAGTCTCTAATTTTCCAAATCCTAATATACCAAAAAACTATTTTTTAGAGAACTTTTCTTAATTTAATTAGTCTTAAAAATTTACCTGAGAAAAAGTTAGGTAATCAGTACATCAATCCATTACTCCATTAGAATATATTAACTCATTGCAAACAGATTAGGAAAATGCTAAGGCAATTAGCGTTGCAGTTTTTATGATTTTAATAAAAAAAAATTAAGAAAATCCCTCCATTTTACTGAGGGTTAAGATTCCCCAGAAACATAAATGGTATCACTCAAAAGACAAACACTTACCAGCAGGCATTTTTGAAAACAAAAAAATAACCATTTCATATCAAAACTTTTATGTCACACACTTTATCATAATTCAAATACATCCATCATCGTCATCGCCATGCGACATCACTTCACACTTTTACTGAGAATTCATGTCACATTTGAAAAATCCATTTCCCATCCAGAAAAGCAAAAAAAGTGTATTTTTATATTTCTCTTCTTCTGTTTTTCTTCTCTTCCCGTTGTCTCCCCACAGGATGGAGCGATAGAATTCGAAGAGTTCATTAGAGCTTTATCGATTACATCCAGAGGAAATCTCGATGAAAAGTTGCAATGTGAGTAAGCGTTGACATTCGTGTTTTTTTTTCTTGCTACACGATTGTCATATTGACTTGACTTTCTAATCGATGGTATTTGTTGGTATTCATGTTTTTTTTTTTTTTTTTTTTGTTTTCAAATATTTTCTTTTACAGGGGCTTTTCGGTTGTACGATGTCGATAATGATGGCTATATCACAAGAGAGGAAATGTACAATATTGTGGATGCCATCTATCAAATGGTGGTATGTATATGGTGTTGGGTTGACTTCTTGGTTTTTTATTTAATTTAAATTTTTTTATTGTAATATTTGGAATTTAAAATGTTACTTTAAGAGAGTCCTTAGGGGATTAAAAATATGGTTTGAGAAAAAAAACTTTGAAACCTTACTGTTCTATTGAAGCTTCGTTGAAAGAAACTTATAATGTGACAGTCCAGATATAATCCCGTGTCATCTTTTTCAATTTTTACGAACAAAATTCTTAGACAGAACCAAAATCATGGATTTCTTAAGATGAAAATTTTGTGAATTAGGGTCAAGATTCAAACAAAAAAATTCAAAGGACCTCTTAATCAAAAATTGTGAAAAGTTCCCCTTTCATAAAAATTAAAATTTCATGCCAAAAAATCGTGGATTAATAAGATTTTTTTAAAGATCACGTATAAAAAATTTGTTGAAAATGTTTCACAGACGGACAACCAAGGACCAAAAATCTGGTCTTATACCCAAAATTATTTCAATGTCTATCGGGACGAAATCCATGAATTTTTATCAATATTATAAAGGATCAACTGGACAAAAATTTGGGGATTTCTTAAGACCTTTTATAAAAAAACTTATTCACAAAATATGTGGAAGAGCCTTTAGAACCATCTTTGTAGACTTTTCATAGAATATTTCGAATGACCTCCTGACCATAAATTGGGGATTTTTCCTGGACAGTTACGAAAGAAGTGTTGTAAAAAACTCTTTCTTGAACAAAATCTTAAATTTGAAGACAATTTTTTAATGACATTATACCCACAGAAAGTGGATATTTAATTAATCAAAAAATCTTGAGTTAGATATTTTTCACGAATTTTCTGACCAAAACTTCGACTTCGACTAAAAGAAGGGTTTTTTAATTTTTTTTTTCAATTTTGAAAGAATATTTAAAGAGTGAGATAAAAACTGCAACTAAGTCAAACGCCATAATTTTTATGTTTTAATTTTAAATTTTATTGAATGAAAGCAAAACATGTCGGAAGTAGCATCAAATTTTAGAACAAGTTTAGAATTTGTTCAAAGTTCGAATTGGTCACCTTTCGCACGAATTGTGGCCTTCAACGCTGCCGGAATGTTGTTCTGCGGTATTTTGGAAAATTCCCGGCAAAGCGCTAGCTTGAGGTGATCGACACTTTGGCATTTTTTAGTGCCAACCTTGCTATCCAAATACTCCAGTTACAATAATCTAACGGATTGGCATCCGGAGATTTTGGTGGCCATTATGCGCTGGAAATGAAGCGAAGAACCTCATTTTGTGCTGAGTCCTGTTGGAATGTCCAATGTCTGCGGTCAAAATGTTTGCGTGCCAAGGCTTTAATAAACCCTCCTTGCTTTCCAAAATACTCCAGACACAATAGTCCAACGGATTGGTATCCGGAGATTTCGGTGGCCATTTTGCGCTAGAAATGCACTTGCACTTTTTGGGATTTCAATGGCTTCATCCCGAGCTCACGAGCGATATGTTCAGCTCACGAGCCGTTTTTTGGCCACTGCGACGTGGGTTTCGATCAAGTCGCTTCATTATTTTTCGAACCATTTCTGCTGATGTTGCTGTTTTTACGTCAACTTCCTTGACGTCAGCTACGTTACCAGTATCATGGTAACGATCGATATTACGAGCCACTAAAGAGTTATTCACATTTAAATGCTGGAATGCTCTAACGATAGCCACTTGTGGCTTTCCAGTCAAATATAAAGAAATCACACTATCACGCTTGAATTCCATTCTGGAAAATTCTCACCGAAATGCTTTTGTACGCTTGTAAACTATATAATGAGCTATCACTGGAATAATTTTAACAGCAGTCGGACGAGTGGCTTAGAAATGAAAGCAGTCTGAAGTGAGTTGCAGTTTTTTTATCTCACCCTGCATATCGAAGGATCTTCAGAACCATCTTTGTAGACTTTTCTGGAACTTATTTGTAAAAAATCGTTGATATAATTGTTAAAGTGATCTTCGACCATAAATTGGTTATTTTTCCTGGACTTCGTTCGTAAATGTTGTAAAAAATTATCTTTTTTAAAATTTCTTAAAAAAATCTCAGATTTTTTAATGACTTTGCAAAGGCCTTCCTGGAAAGAATTATAAGTTTGATGTCATTCACGAATTTTCTGACCAACATTTTGGCTATTTTCTATTTAAAGAATCGTCAATGACATTCAGCCAATTATTCTTGGATTTGGAAATAATATTTATTACCTTTTGTTCAGTTTTTGTCTTTTTTCAAAAAACCGACTTATATTTTAAAACTAACTTTTTACTAATATAGAATTACATCTCGACTTTTCGTTATATCTTATTCAGTACAATCTCAATAATTTATAGCGTGAGAATCCCTAGGCCGTTACTTGTCTTATTGATCCTTAAAAATTATTCGGTCCCATTGTGTTAAAAATATATTGAGATTCTACAATATTCTAAAATATATTTATAAAAAAATAATTCCTTTTCTATATTTCTTTTTTACAAAAATCCTGCCTCCAGGGTCAGACGCCACAAACAGATGACGAGAACACGCCCCAGAAACGAGTGGATAAGATCTTCGATCAAATGGATAAAAATCACGATGATCGCTTGACATTAGAGGAGTTCCGTGAGGGTAGTAAAGCTGATCCACGTATAGTTCAGGCGTTAAGTTTAGGTGGTGATTAACCAAAAGAGTCATAGTTTAATTAAACAAAGAATTAAACTGATTAAACAAACAAGAGAAAAAAAAAATGAAACTAAAACCGAACAAATTAAAAAAACCAAAGCCAAAACCACAAACACATTTGCATTATACATAGAGACATTAAAAATAACCCCTGGGCCCCCAGGAAACGCACACCCCCACAGACATAGACACACACACCAAATTACACAATACATTAACAAAAAAAAATAATCAAAATTATTAAAACGAAAAAAAAAAAACACAAATTTCTAGACAAACAACAAAAAAGCTAAACATTTTTTATAGAAACAATTACCAAATGGAATCATAGGTGCCCATTGCAAGGAGGTCAAAAATGTATTGGCAACAACCACCATTAGAAACGGAAACAGGTTTTTTTCCGTGAACGGGGGAAACAGCTGTCAGTAGTTAATGCTTAATGACAAACAATTCACACAGACACACACACACACTGTATAAACAAGAAGTAGAAAAAGAACGATAAAACCCGTAACGTTAAATATAATTAATAAATAAATAAAACTAAATTAAACCACCCACCCAAAATAAATGAATACACAATAACAACCGAAAAAAAAAAAAAAAACAATGAAACCCCACACACACAGGTCGACAGACAGACAAGAGAACTTATTTATACAGTTAGATAATTTTTCTATAAAATAAATATAAAAAAATATATAGAACAAACAAAAAAGTAATAAAGGAAATTTATCGGAAATTACACAATGCAACAGAAATTTTAACTGAGAGCCTGTTTCTATTGTATATGGGTATTCTTGAAGGAAAAAATTTTGGAAATTAAAGAATTGTGAATCCACCATGGCACGTATTGTCGAAAATTATGAAGGAAAAATTCATGATATAATACCCCATACCAGTGTATTAAATTAAACCTGTTTATTGAGCTGGAAAGCCCCTTTTGTAACTCCAAGAACTAAAGCGATAAGATATTAATTTTTTTGTCCAGGCAATTACTTAATTTATTGGAACATATATTTTTGTTAATATTTTGCGAAATTCCTGTCATTCCTGGTAAAATACCTAATCTCTTTCCTGAATTGAAAATTGAGGTACACCTGACGGAAAAAGAGAGTTTCTTCCTGGCAATCCATCCTGTGCAAGATTTCATAATTGGCATACAACATGTCTATATATCAAAACTGACGCCAAATTCGATTTATATGGATTTACACAAGGAGATAAATTAAAAAAGTTATAAAAAAAATGAGGTGCATATGTTGACTCCGTTTCAACTAAAAAAAAAAACAAAAATAACCCAATTAGCGAAAACCTAATTTGGTTAGAAATTGTGGCAGAAACTTTCAAAAACCCAAAATTTGACGGTATCGTTATATGGGAAATATACTAATTAGTGCACCTGAATCGAACAGTTTTTGGAGATCGAACAACAGGAGGAAATAGATGTGTCGACAACCCCAATTGTCAAGTTTCGACTAATTTAATTGGAAATTTTGGAAGAAACCTTCAAAATACCGAAAATCGGGAGGTACTGCTATATAGGGGGGCTATACCTATCAGTGAGAGAGAGCTATCGTTATATGGGGACTATACCTAAACGCAGACACCCATAGCCCATTTTCAATTCCAATCAGCCCAATAAATCTTTGTGACAAATTTCAAACTTCTGATTTCAACAGACTTTAAATTACAGACTACATTGACTTTAAATTTTACGCTGATCAGGAATGTCTATACATACTTTTTGAGGCCTTCTGGGTTGCAAAGGATATGACAAATTATATATACCCTCTATTCTATGGTGAAGGGTATAAAAATATTAATGTTTTATACCCTCCTGTATGAGATGGCGTTTATATTATAATTTTCTTTCCGTTTGCAACATCTCGAATACCTTTATATTGCGTATATTCTTGATCACCATTTAATTGTGAATGGACTTAAGGATGCTTGTCTATCCGTCTATTCAAACCTGGGTGGGGAGCTCAGCGATTTGGTGTTGCCCACAGTATTCCCCACAGAACCATACCCATACAACGTTGCCTTCCGATTTCAAATTTCAATCCGTCTATTCAAATTTGGATGGAGAGCTCTGAGATATGGTGGATGCTTCCCCACAGAACCGTACCTTTTTACATTCCCATATAACGTTGCCTTCCGATATCAATTTCCAAATCATTTTGTTGGAACTTGAAATTTCGGATCCTGATTAGGTATATTTTCTTCTTACCAAAAATGCTCAATGCCAACCCACTATTTGGTATGGCTCCCCTATAGCCTTTCCTCCCGGTTTACGATAGTTGGCAGGTTTGAGAATTAATTTCTGTTAGACCAACATTATCCTGGAAAAAATTTTCTTTATGGATCTAGCATTTGCTATAGCCTCCATAGAATGGTAGCTCCAGATTTTCAGAAACTTGAAGGATTCAGGAAAAAATGTCCACCCTAATAAGATTTTGAATATTTTGTTAGTTAAAGGTAAGCTTTGGTACGTAAATTTTGATACCAAGCTTGAAAGTTTTACTTCAAATATTTTTGGCATATTGTACGTTTTTTTGTATAGCCTATGTTGTCAAAAGTACGAATTTGAATATTTTGGTAATTTAAAGTTGTAGGTATAATTCAAAGGAGTTTGTACCAATACTACATGTTTCCTTGAGGTGAAAAAGGGTACAGTTATGGCACATTATTGTGTGCAATTGTAAAGTTCGGTACAAAGGAGGTCTATTTTTACGATTTTGTTTAATTACGTACGTAAATTTTCCCAAATTGTACTTTTTCGTACTGCAGATTTTATGAAGAGCACAAATTTGTATATTTTGGTGTGAAAGTGTATTTTTTACCTTTTTGTAGGGAAAGAGCCCAATCGTCGATTTTTCCAAAGTGTACTTTTTCTTACAGCTGATTGTATAAGGAGTACCAATGTGTATATTTTGGGGTAAAAGTGTAATTTTTATCTATTTATATATTTTGTACAGAAAGAACTCAATCGTGACAAATCTCCTTCAATCTGAAAAACGTACAGTTTTGTGAACGACTCGGTACAGACAGGAACAAAAGATGGTGATTTTTACAATGTTGTCTTATGACGTATGTACATCGGTAAAATTTGCAAAATTTTGATACCACATGATACGCATTGGAGGATCGCGATATGTCCTCCTTGTGATTATATCTAATTTATTTTAGTACCTATATATTTTCACAAATTCTACTTATGCTGAAAGATTTATTTAGAATTTCGCAGATATTCAGTACATTTTAGTACCAAAAAGTAAAAAAGTATAATGGTCATATCGAACCACTATGTTTATCTCTAACTCGATGGTCAGAATCAATTAGTATATTTTGTACCTTTCTATATTGTCAATTTTGCTATAATAACATTGGAAGAATATTAAGAACCATCTGTCCTCCCCACTTTTTTTCAAGTAGACTAAATTGCATGAAAAATTGAAAGTGCTTTCCGATCGTTCCAAGCTTCTTAGAACTTTTAGCATCTTGGTAGTACGAATTAAGTACGAAAAGTAGTACGAAAATACTACAACCAAAAATGCATGCCTAATTTAATAAATCCAATTCGTTACCAAAAAAGTACATTATTTTGATAGTCTGTGGCTTTTTTTATGTACCCTTAAGGTACATTTTGGAGATTACTGGTGTAGTTCATCATTAGATATACTATCAACCTCTTCCTGATACCTCCACAAGAATGTGACTATATTGCTTACACCTTTGATACACGTTGAGGCTCTAGTTCTCTCGATCGCCAAATAAATAAATATGATTTTATACCATCAAAACTTCGTGAGCTATGTATTTTATGAAAGAGAATGGTCCATACAAACCTTAAAATGTACATCTACATCCCTTTGCTCAAGAATAAAAGTAGTAAAGTACATTTTTGTATCAGTTAGGACTTTTCGTACTCCTATTACAAATTTCCACACAATGGCTGCTCATTCGATTGGGTGTGGCCCCTTTAAAACTGTACCGCAGCCGAATTTAGGATTGAGGTTTTAGTGATATTTTTCGATGGAATTGGCTTCTAATCGCAAATTGCATTCTGGGCAAAAAAACATCCGTACAAAAAACTGTTCATATAGGTACGAATTGTGGTATAGACACTATATAAAGACATATACCGATGTTCAGAATTTAAATGATAGTTGCCACATTTTTCAAAGGAAATTTTCTAAGCGGATACGGTATTGGACCTCGCAACTGGTGCTACATTCTCAGGCACATATTAAATATCAAAATTCTTGTTCGACTTTTATTCCTGCAATTTTGACTCATTTTAGTTCAAATTTTCTCAAAAATTTAACTCATCACATGCTAAATTTAAGAACCCTGTTTCAGCCATGCCTTCGGGGCTTTTTTTATCAGTCGATCACATATAATTCAACACTGAAATGCCATAAGAAACTCTAGTTAAGATTTTTTTATTACATCGTGTAATGCCAAGAAAAAACCATAAACGTCGAACATAAAGGTACGTTTTGTTAGATTAGGTTAACAGCAAATTTAAAAGGGACAATGGTAAAGTAAAATATTTTTAATTGCATCATATTTTTCTTGCTTCACAATACAAAACTACTGCTATCCATTAACGGTTTAATTGCTATACTAAACTACTTTAAAGAATCCCAAAACAAAAAGAAAAAACACAACGCTCCCCATTAAATTTTTGGCCACCCTTATTTTGCTGGGGCGGATGTTAGGGAAATCTGTGAAAAATACCAAAGCAACTTATTACACCAACTTCCGATTGTACTTAGTCTACCTTTAACTCAGCTACTTACTCCATTTATGAAGCTATGAAAAGAAACAAGGGAAAAAATAAGAACAACCGTTTTTTAATACTACCTTACGTGTACTTCCAAAAAAATCTATTAACTTTATTTTATAGAGGCTATTAAGACATTTCTATCAAGAAGGGTGTGGGGGTTGACTAAGTAAGTAAACAAGCTTAACTACCCTTACCCCCCAAAAAATAAAAAAGAAACGCTACAAACACAAACTCTATTATGACACACCTACATTAATACTGGAAACACACACACACGCAAAAGTGGAACACTGAGGGAGGGTTTCAATGCTAGTTAATGGAAATAATTGCAGCTTAGGTCACCTTAGTATTTCGTAGTGAAATTACATATATTTCCCCCCTTTGGGTATACTAATAATAGTGTTTTGAATGGAAGGAAATGGTAGTTTAAGCACTGAGTTTTTTTCGGTAGGGTTTTGGAAAAATTAACCACTTGATTTCTACCCTAAACTATATTATTATTTAAATTGAAGCATACAATACCATGAAATGAGCTTTTTCAGGACGATGGTACTTAGTTTTAAAAAATTGGGGCGAAATAAAATTTTTAAATTTTGAACTTTTTAAAGTATATTTAAGAGAATATCTAATAAGGCCTGTGTCGACGAATTACTCTGTTTCATTTAGGTCGGCCTTTTCGTTCAGATTCAACAAAATTCGTGTAATTTCGTTTTCTAATCTCCCTATAATTTAAAATCTCCCTTAATATAAAATTTGATATAACTTCTCGAAGTAAGCATTTTGGACCCCACAAAGTATGTATTGATCAGCATAAAATGATATGTCAATATAATACTTAACTTCCGTCTGTGTGTCCCTCTACGTAAATTTCTTTGGCTTCCGAATGGAAAAAATGTGTTAAGAATGGTATTTGGCCAAAAATGTCCTTTAAAAGTTAAAGATTTCGTATAACTCCCTTAGAACGGACCACCAGGTATTTGAATGATTTTAGCAATATATTTTTTTGCATAATTTTCTTTTATTTATTTATTTATTTTTTTTTGAGGTCGCAGAGTTACCATCGGCTGGTACACATTTTTGAATTGCCTTTATTAAACGGTAACTCTCGATATTAAATATTGTGGTGATTTAAGCTGATTTTGAACGGAATCATTTTAAATGTTTTATTTAGTGTTCGTAACAACAGAAACTTTCCCATATTCCGATAACTCGGTATTTCGAAGGATATGGCCGAATTAGCTGCAATGTTGTCTTCTCATTGGATCACGATCTGCCAAATTGTTACATTCTAGGTCACATTACGGCATGGGATATTATGTATTTGTGCTTTAATCAGACATTTATAAAAGAAGATATTTAAAAATAAAAAAGCTTCAAGTTCGGCCGGGCCAAACTTTGAATACCCTCCATCACTTGCAACGAATTTGGCCATTTTCAAAAAAATAAAATCCGTAAAAAATTATATACTGTTACAATCTTAAAAATACTGAATACGTTATATTAGGGTCTATACGACCACGTGGACCGGCATCATAAAAATCATCCAAATACCAAATATAAGGAGGTCCTATTATATAGGCCTATACCAAAACATGAACCTGCACAGATAATATTTTGTCATAGGCTGTAGTATCCATTACCAACTTCAAATATTACATTTGAAGCAATTCCGGTGAATAATGTCGCTAAAGTCATTAAAATAACAAATAACGGGAGGTACGGTTATATTAGGACTATACGATGACGTGAACCTGAAGAGACAATTTTCTGTCATAGGCCGTAGTATCCATTACGATCTTCAAATACCAAATTTGAAACAATTTCGCTTAATAATGTCGCTAAAATCATAAAAATACCGAATATCGGGAGGTACTGTTATATGGGGGATACAACAAAACGTGGACCTACATGGCCCAAAATGTATGTTTCGAGGTGTTACAAACGGAGTGACAAACTTAATATACCCTCCCCACTATGGTGGAGTATAAATTACACGAAGAACTAAAATTGTGATTTTTCGGGACATTCTTGAGCACTATAATTGCTGATTTGAAGGAAAAACAATTGTTGAATTGTGAGGGACTCAAACAATAATTTTTTAGAATGATTTTTAAGAAATTTCAGGGAGCAAATTTGGGACTTTCAGGAGACATTCGAAGAGCTATAATTATAAGGTGTTCGGAAATAAATGATAGATTATAAACCGAACATACCGAACCAAATACAAAATGGACTCATAATTCTTTTGGATGATCTTTATAGAATCACATTCTGAGTCGATTTGTGCAAACAGAGTATATGTGCCATTTATTGTCCGATTGAGATGCAATTTTTAGATCCCATATATATCTTCGTCCGATTTCAATTTAATTTGCACCGAATGTGTAACATTCGTCCAAATTTGATGTATTTCGACACATCTGACCGAGTTCGGCTTAAAGTAAATACTTCAAAATCAGAAAATCGGTTCAAATATAGCTATAGCTCCCATATATCTTTTATCCGAATTGGTGTTTCTGAGTCGATTTATGCAAACCAAAACAATGATAATTGGTACCAGATATCAGATACAGCCAGAAATGCCTTTTTTATCGGTTCAGATAAAGCTCCCATATATATCTTAATCCTATTTCAGGTATATAGTTAATATCAAACCAAATGGAGTGGATTATGCCATGTATGACCGAATTCATCCTAGAAGCCAGTACATCAAGTTTGATGAAAATCGGCTCAGATATATCTATAGCTCCCATACAAATTTACCATCCGATTTGGTGTTTAGGTCTCTCACTTTCGTGATATGCCACCGAAACAATCAGATACAGCTAAGAAATACCTCTACCAACCCAAATTGAGGCTATTTCGATATGATAACTTATGATAAACACCCTTGAAAAATGTTATAATATAGTTTAAAGTTATTCCAAAAGTACTCCCAAAAAATGGATATTTGAGGACAACCAAATTGGGGACAACCGATTTTGCAAAAATTTGATCTTGGTGTAGGATATTGTATTTTCATACCCTCCACATGTGCCTTTTTCAAGATATATCCCACATTATTTTACGGAGATGTTTGAAATTTAGTACAATTGCTTGTATTGTATCTAGAATGCTTGGTGTTGAAAATCGGTGCACGTTTTCGTATAGTCACCATAAATGTACCCCCTGATATTCGGTTCTTAATGATTTTAGGCAAATTTCAACACCGAATTATTCCAAATTTTGTATTCCTATTTTTTGCGTTTCAATAATATTTTTCACATGCCACGAATTGTTCCAAATCTTGTATCTAGAGTTTCTAATGGGTTCTACCGTCGATGGAAGAATATTTTCTACATTGGTCCCCCATATAACGGTACCCTTGGTGCTTTAAAAACTTAAACTGCATTCCCAAGATATCCCTGGTACTTGCAGTTTAAAGTGAAATACGTTTGAATATTGAATCCAGAAAACTTTATTTTCAAATGCTTCCTTCCAAGATATTTTTGAATATTTTGTCCATACTACTTCATCAGACCTCTCGAGGAAGAATTTTCTTCAGAAAAAATATTCAGTAGGAACTATATTTATTATAGAACACCTCCTGCCTACAGCGGCACCCTTTGTTATAAAACATTTTGAAGAATTAAGAAAATTGAAGATCCTAGACAAACACTTAGCCGAAATATCAACAATTTGATATTATGTCAAATTTTCAAAACGGTATTGAAGCCCTCATAAATATACGAATCATACACTCAACCTCCAACAAACAGAAAGAAAAAAACAAAACACCAATTTAACAAAGAGATAAACGCTTTTTATTATTGGAGAATATGGGTAAAAAAATAAAAATATTAATAATAAAATTGCAAAAACCAATAATTAAAAATAAAAAAATTAAGAAAATCGGTAATAATATTTACAAATACAAATATTTTAGTTTTAAGTGTTGTTGTTAAGGTGCAATATTATAATTAATGAAACAAAATTTATTAATTGACTATTATTATTAACACAAATCAACAAATTAATTAATTAATAAATTATTGAATGAATGTCTTTTTATTAGTAAAACAATTGAAACCGAAAAAAATAAATAAAAACAATTAACAAGCCAAAACAAAAAAGATTGAAAAATTAATACTAATAAAATCCAAATTTACAGAAAATCGGCTATACAAATTGGCTGAAAATATGCTATTCGCAAATAACTAAAAAATGAAAAAAAAAAAAAATAAAAAACAAATAATACGAAATTTACCACCCTAATATTGGATATTTTTGAAAATGGCACAATGCTTTTGAACAAAATTCTTCTTAACGAACTCATCACAGCATGTTGCGAACTGCTAACCCTGAAAGAGAGGTAAATTTTTTTTCACGCTAAAACCTTTTTGTAAATAAATTTATACTTTTTGCTTACATATATCCTTTTTTTCCAAATTCTAAATGCAAATAAAAAATACTGACTGGCATGTTTTTCTTTCTTTCTTTTTTTACTAAGAATGCATGTTTTATTTTATTTTCCATCTAAAATTTAAAATAAAAAAATTGAATATTCAAAATATAACTGCTTTGAATAACCCTTAAAACAACACATTAAACTTTTTTAAGAAATATACAGAGACTGTTTATTGAGCCGCTGTAAAATAAATTATTCAAAAAAAAAAAAATCATAGATTTCAGGCAAAGATTTTTTCGTTTCACAACATTTTTGAATATTTACACATCACCTTTCATACGATACCTTCCAACAACAACCACTACAAAAACAAAACACAATTTGTCACCCTCACCTTGTTACACATGTGGGTATATCCGAGATACGCACCATTTCCGGGTGTTTGCGTATTTTCAATACATCAACATATATTTTTTTCCTAATATTTATTAACTTTCTTAATCACCATTCTAAAATAATTTCTGTATTTTTATATGTGGATTCAGCTTTCTATATTCCTTCTTTCACAAACCCATGGATATTTACTGTACTTTTCACAAAGGAAAAGAGAAAAACCTTAAATGGAAGAGATGAAACCATAGAAACTGGCCTAGACTCAATCTTTTATTTCGGTATTACTTCCTTTTTCTTTCAAAAAATTACCCAACGGAAAAGTACACTAAAAATTCATGAAAATATTTTTTTTTTATAATTTCTAAGTATTGTAAAAACAATGTAAGCCTACAAATCATGACAATTTTTCATTACTCCAAAAAAAATTGTCAGATATCAATAAAGCTTTTCTTTTCCAATAAATAACTTTCTATGTAACTACATATTTATTTCTTTCTCCACTGTCTATTTCCAATTTTTTTTATATATAAATATGTCTGAATATATAATTAATAATCTTAAAACATACTGTAATAATGATAAAAAAATGAAGTTTTGTTTTATATATATACTTTTAAGTGAATTTATATAAACATGAATAAATAAAACATTTTTTTAAAAACAACTTTCGAACATTCTTGTTGTATGCTTTCAGCTTTTTTCGAATATTATTTGCAATTTTTATAAGAAAAATAATCTTACAAAAGGTGCTTAAATTTTTATCAAGGGCGATTGGCTTCAACAATTAACAATTTTGTTTTTAGTGTCAAGTTCATCATCACATTTAAAAAGAAAAAAATAAAAAAAATTAAATAACATGTCTTTGGCATATTTAAAGCAAACACTCTCAGTGAGATTTAGCGTAAGTACTTAAACATTAATTTTTTTTTTAAATTTTGTCTTTCGAATTTAACTTTTAATGACCTAAGGATATAATAGGCCAAATTCCAATTTTTAATATTTTTCCATAATACTGATTACGAAAAAAAATTTGTTTCAGCTACATGCATCAGCATTTGTGGTTCCTACACAAAATGATTCAAAATGTCAAAGAAACCTTTAAAATACGGCAAGTGTACCGTTACCTTCCTATGGGAGGTATACCAAACAGTGGGAAGGTATATATTGTATTTAGAATGCAAAATCTCTTACAAATTTTAGCCAAAAGCTTTAAAATCCTCAAAAATCGACTGAAAAACAAGAAAGCAAAGGCTAGAGTCGTGCGGGGCCAACCAACAACACTATAAGATGAATAAAAATATATAAATGGACTTTTTATATCCTACAATACTATGTGTTGGAGGTATTATAAGTTCGATTGGGCCAAAAATTATTTAACACCTCCAAAGCTTATGTGGATCTTTCTTTAGGACAGCGGGTAGAATGGACCACTGATTTTGTGTGTCAAAGTACCAATATTTCCATTCTACCGAAACACTGAAAATAACTTACAGGCGAAATCCAAAATACACAAATGACAAACTTTTTGGCATTGTTTATGCTGATTTCTTTGACGAAAATAGCCAAATATCGTAGACAACAAAAAAAAGTGAAGCAAACTCATTTTTTCGATGTCGCTTGAATATGAGTGAGCCTGTTTTCCTCGTTTTTTGGTAGGAGCAAAATTCTTTTAAAATCAAGAAGATTCGACTTTTGCCTGTCACTCTTTTAGTTTTTGCAAAACCGTTGTTGTCGGACAAGATTTCTAAAGAGACTCTTCATTATACAACTAAGTAGTCTTCGACATGTAAAAATAGACCCAATTTTTAAAGATTCTAAAATAACTGATTTTAAATTAATTTTAGTGTTTGCATCGTAGAGGCTATAGCATTTCCGAACTTACTGCCGTTTTTTCGTCGTTTTATAGTAGATGGGGATTATCCCTTATCCTTGTTGCGATTTACGCCTTTTTGATGACTATGGAAGAGCTTAGAACATTACAGCTTTCGTTTATGACTCACAAATTTTGGATCAATCGGCCAAGGTCCGAGTGGAATTAGCTCTGCGTGGTTGCGCCAGATATATGGTATATCCGATTTCAAATTTAGACCTTCTTTATGTCAAATTTCTCTAGCAATAATATTAGGTGCAAGTGATCACATACTGCCTAGAGCAAATTTCCTATTCCGCTCGATTTCAAATGTTAGTTGCAGTAATGCAGTTGGAAGCGTTCATCAACGATCACAGTGGGCTTGCTTTACTATACAGATATTCCCAATACATTTGTTACAGCATGCTTGATTAAATATGTACAGTGGTGTAAGCTATCTTTAAGTCCGCCTGACTTTTGAAGTTCTAATTTTAAATGAACAGAGAGTTACGTGTCTCGTTCTACCGAAATAAGTTAATATTCCAATTAATTAAGCTCTTATCACGAAATCTTGTGATTGTAAAATTCGTTGTATATCCTGCATGATTCTGCATTAGGGACTGTTAGAAAAAAAAATAATTATGTATTTTATAAAATTTATAATTTAAATTATATAATTATATTTTCCATTATCTGTATAATTTAGCTTTAGAAAATAAACCAAACTTAAAATTCTCATCATATTTGCAACCCCAAAAAAAATTACAATAAATTTTGCATATAAACAAATTCTTTAATTAATGACAAACATAAACATACGATGAGATGACATCCATTCATTGGCAAACTCTGCAAAAATTAATAGCAAAGCATGAACATATGTCAAAAGAATATGATAATTGTTTATGTAAATCCATATGATGCGCTCCTCAGCACGTTTATATAAAGCATTTGTTTTTCGCATGCCTTAACTTACAAGCAAAATATTCACATCGTTGTACACATAATTAAGTTTAAAGTGAAAAAAAAATATATATGAAAAACAAAAAAATCTACTTTAAATATAATATTTGAAATAACTTAATGAAATAAAAAAAAAAAAAAACTAAAAAAATATCACTATCTCCACTGTTAAGGACACAAAAATTTTTAGCTGCAACAATCACTTTTTCAACGCTTTACTTTATATATTAATAAATCACTTTAAGATCAGTAAAAAAATAATGTGCAACCACTGGTATATATGGGAAGAGTTAAAAGAGAAATAATTCAAAGGCATATAGTTTTTATTTTGGAATGTATGAAAACGGATTAAATATAGTATTTTCAGTTTATTTTAAATTTAAAACACGTTTTAAAAATTCTTTCCTTAAGAATGTAGTTACAATTGTTGTATTCCTAAGAGAATTGGTCGTAACAAATTTTAAATTTGAATTTATGCTTATATTCGGGCTCAAGGACTATTTCAGCAGCAACAAAATTACAAACAAATTTAATATAATGGACTAAGTGTATAACTTTATTTGGTATGAGAGTAAAAGTAAATAATATTCTAAAAATCCTCCAAGTTCGAGTATATCTCTGATCTGTGAGAAGAATCGGCTTTGCCAAATATTCACAGTAGCGTCTCTGCTACATCCGTGTGGTGGGTTCCACTATGCTTTTTTCATTAATTCCCTAATTCTTATATGTAATGCTACAAAGGGTATACATCCATTTGATACCGCCAAATGTGCCACGTGGAAATGATGGATTTAGGTCACCGTATGTCACCTTGGACGAAATCCATTTTAGAACATTTAGAATCAACCTAGTGGTATCCACTTGTCTGGCCGATAACTCTCGATACTTTCGATTTGACTCAAACTTGGTACATTGTAATATTTTTACCTACTTCGGCAATATTGGTTTACCCATCTGATAAAGAAAAATAAAAAATCTAGTAAAATATGAAAATGTAAATTTCGATTTCAATTAAATTGTAAAACTCGATTGATGTCGAGCGGGAGCACTCCTGGGAGTAGACAAAAAAATGAGAATTCAGCTACGCTCCAAGAAGTGTGAGCATGCTTTGCTCGTTTCATAATGGGAGCGGTTGTTATAGCCTAAACCACATAGTGTTAAGGATATTATGTCTTTGTGCATGTATTGGTAACATTGAGAAGGAAGCGAGTTAGACCCATGGTTACTTTTGAGGATCTTTATTTCTTTCTGAGTCGATTTATGTATGTCAGTCCGTCCATATGTCTATGTATTTTTGTGAACAAAATTCAGCCCGCATTTATTATTTAATATAGTGAGATGAAACATTCCAAACAATATTTTTTGGCCCACGGACGAATCCTATTGAAATTGGTGAGAATTGGTTATAATTTAGATATAGCTCCCATATATATTCAACCGTTTTCGGGTTAATTGTGCATCAGATGATTATTATCGGTTCAAATGGAGTGAATTTTGGCACCGACCAAGTTCGGTCTAGAAGCGAATGCATCAAATTTAGTCAAAATCGGTTCCGATTTGGTGTTTATATCCCTCACATTCGTAATATGCATTCCACAAGAATGATATTTGGTAACAGATATCAGAAACAGCAAGAGAAATACCTCTGTCAAATTTTATCGATATCGGATCAGATTTGGATATAGCTCCCATACATACAGGATGAGATAAAAAAAATGCAACAAATTCAAACGCCATAATTATTACATGTTTTTTTATTGAATGAAAGCAAAAAAATTCGGAAATAGCATCAAATATTAGAATATGTTTAGATTTGTTCGAATTGGTCATCTTTGGCACGAATTAAAGCCTTCAAACGGCCAATGAAACCGACACACGCTGCCCGAATGTTGCTTTACGGTATATTGGCCCATTCCCAGCGAAGCGCCTGCTTAAGGTCATTGACATTTTGGTATTTTTTAGTGCCAACCTGGCTTTCCAAAATTCTCCAGACACAAAGTCCAACCGGTTGGTCTCCTGAGACTTTTTTGAGACTACTGCGCGCTGGAAATGAAGCGAGGAACCTGATGTTGTAACCATTTTTGGGTGGGGCGTGCTGAGTACGATGGTACTGAGTCCTGTTGGAATGCCCAAGGTTTGCGGCCAAAATTTTTGCGTGCTCAAGGCTTTAATACACCCTCAAGAATATTTTCGCGATAATATTCGGCATTTATTCTGATGCCAGGGTCGATTTATACGAGCGGAGAGCGACCATCGGCCGTTGTGGCGGCCCGCACCATCACCATGACCGGCGCTTGAGTTCTGGTGGCCAACCGAAGGTGCACATTTTCAGCTGACCTCTTTGACAAGTAAACACGATCGTTTTGTTTTTTTACAAACTGCTGTGCAACGAATGTTTTCTCATCGGAGAAAACGAAATTCGTCAGTTCACCACTTTCGGTCAAGCGAAGCAACTTTTGAGTCATTTCTGCTGATGTTGCTGTTTTCTTCCGTCCACTTCTTTGACGTCGGGCTACCCTACCAGTATCACGGTAACGAGCGAGACACAAAAAATTTAGTCACATTTAACTGCTGGAGTGCTCTAACGATAGCCACTTATAGTTTTCCAGTCAAATACATATTTTCCTTTATATCCAATATAGTGCTGTAATGATCAGAAGTCAACCTTTTAATGTAATTGTGATTTCGCCGGGGTTAAAAATATTCGTTCTTTAGTAGAAATTTTCGTATTTTGTACATAAAATTTATTTCCTCTCTAAATATTGCCCTATAACCATCCACATTGGTAGATTGGTCTATAATTGTGGCCTGTAGTCTCTATAGGACTAAAGGCTTCAATTCTGACCCTAAACCCCACCTCCGTGCCAAATTTCTGAGAATCGGGCCATAATTGCGACCTGTAGCGTGATTACAAATTAACTTGAACAGACGGACGGATGGGCATATATAGCTAGAGATTTCGAGGTGTTACATAATTTTTGGCCCTATCCAACTTACCCCTAACCCAGTATTTAAGGGTATAATTACATTTGCAAGCAAAATGTAGTAAAAATATGTAAAAATTTACCATTTCTAAGATTTCAAATCAATGCTTTTGATTTATTCCACACCTTTTCCTCAACAATTTGGGAGAAAATTGAATTTCTATAGATCTACAGGGAAAAAGTTTTGATTATAATTCTCGAAACGGACTTACATAGCTCAAAACTTTGTGTAGAAAATTCTCTAAGAATGAGGGCTTCCATCTTTGAACATTAGCGACATATTCAAGAATAAAGATGTATTTTGGCATAAAGCCACTCTTTAGGTATATGTGAATATTAATTTAAAGTAACTTATCAGATACAATTCAAATTCCTGTCCCGTTTATGTTTAGAGATTTTGAAGAAAATATGGAACTATTTTTTTAGTTTTTTTTTTTATAAAATTTTAAACCTCAAAATTTTTATTTTTTTTTATAAAATTTTAAACCTCAAAATGAATATTTTGCTTTATTTTTTGTACAGATTAAATTTTGCTGCAATTCATTGAAATTTCCTGGCAAACTCATTTCATAGCTATGAGTGGTTGCATAAAATTTAACTAAAAATAAATCCTAAATAACTGTAAATATAAATTCATTTTATAGCTATAAATATTTAAATACTCAACTATGCTAAATATAAACAAAAAATCAAACCAAAAAAATATGAACAACAATGAAATGAAAACACCGAAAACAGATTTTTATCAAATGAATAAACACAAAAAATGAAAAAAAACTGAATGCAATTTTGCTAAATAAAATTGAAAACAGAAAAAAAAAAAAACAATTATCAAGCAAAACTATTTTGTGAAATTCCAAGTCATGGTCAGTGAAGAAAAATAAAAAGAAACCAAAAAATAAAGCCACAAAGCGAGAAACTGTTTCAGCCGAAATAAAAAATAATATAAACATATGAAAGAAAAATTTAAAAATGAAAAATAAAAAAACTCAATATAAATATTGAATATAATATTAAAGCAATATCCTTTTTATTACGTTATACAATTCTTTCTTCTTTTTCTAAGAAATACAATAAGTTGTTCCGAAATCGTAATTTAAGCATTGTTAGGCCCGTTTAAAAAAAAACAATAATGAAATATAAATATACATATAAAAAATATACAAATTTTGTGAAATGAAAAAAATTTCAAATTTATTAATAATAACAAAAAGTAAAAATATATGCAAAACTAAGCATTTTTTATGAATTTTATTTTGCAATAAATTTTATTTTTTAAGATATTAAATCAAAAATTGTATACCTATTTTCGTTTTTGCAAAGTGAATGAAAAACTTATATTGAACAAACAACACGAAAAAAAATTAAATGAGTTATTAAAAATACAAATTTATCTTGAAGAAATTAAAAACAATAAGAAATAAAAATAAATTATAATACAAAAATTAAAATTTGTTTTTTTTTTCTTCGTATAAATGGTGAGTACTTGAAAACTTATGGAACATACTTTAATAGCTTATCTAGTTTTTTTAATACTTAATGTAATTAAAGCTTCAGTCCTTAGCATTTTTAAAGGTCTAGATTTTTTTTATTTTTGGTTATTGAAAAATACAAAAGAATACAGTTTTCGGTTTTTAATATCAATACGAAAGTAAGTTTTTATAGTTCAAAATTAAGAATAAAATCTGTTGAATAAATAAAAAATTTTATAACAAATATTTGGTCATCTTTAGAAAAAAATTCGTAATAAATTTTACGTTATTTAGAGATTGGATTTATTCGAATACTCTACAGGGCGAGATGAAAAAACTGCAGCCAACTTCAGACTGCTGTCACTTCTAAGCCACTCGTCTGACAGCTGTAAAAATTATTCCAGTGATAGCTCATTATATTATCGGTCGGTTTTGCCGACAGATATACCCTCAGCCAATGGTCGACTATTTAAAAATATTTTGATTTCTTAATTTTGAGGATTTGTGGGGGAAGCACCAGAAGGAGTGGACCGATATATTCCATCTAAATACCAGACCTAGCACTGACGCAAATATTGGGATTTACAAAGGTGGAGTACAATCGGATTTTCGCTTTTCTTTCTGTGCAAAAAAAAAAAAATATATATATATATATATATATTTTTTTTTTTTTTTGAAAAATTCTACCATATGTGGGGAAGGTACCAGAAGGAGTGGACCAATATATTCCATCTTAACACCAGATCTTGCGTTAATATAAAAATTTGGGATGTGTAAAATTTGAAGACAATCGGACCCTTACATCACATTTTATGAGAGTTGTAATTGATGACCATCTGTGGGGGAGGTACTTGATGAAGTGGACCGATATTGTCCATTTCCAGGCCTGAATTAGTACTGAGGTAAATCTTAGGATTTGCAAAGGTGGAGCAAAATCGGATTTTCGTTTCTCTTTCTGTGCAAAAAATATATTTTTGAAAATTTCGACCTTTTGTGGGGGAGTTACCAGAAGGAGTGGCCCGATATTGCCCATCTCCGAACTCGATCTGAGTTTGACAAAAATATTACGATGTACCATGTTTTGATCAAATCGGATACTCCCTTCGAGAGTTATTGTGCGCACAAGCCAGCCAGACAGATAGACCGACGGACGGACATCGCTAGATCGACTCCAAATGTTCTGAAACGGATTTTGTCCAAAGAGACCTAGGGTCTAAAACCGTTATTTCGACTAGGCATGTTTTGACCGTGTCAAATGATATATAACCTCTGTAGCCATATGGCTGAGGGTATCAGAATAAATGCCGAATATTATCGCGAAAATATTCTGGAGGGTGTGTTAGAGCCTTGGGCACGCTAACATATTGGCCGCAGACATTGGACATTCCAACAGGACTCTGCACCATCGCACTCAGCACGCGCCACCCAAGAATGGTTAGAAAATGAGGTTCCTCGCTTAATTTACAGCTCGCAGTGGCCACCAAAATCTCCGGATAACAATCCGTTGGACTATTGTGTCTGGAGTATTTTGGAAAGGAAGATAGGCACTAAAAAAATACCAAAGTGTCGATCACCTTAAGCAAACGCTTCGCCGGGAATGGGCCAAAATACCGCAGAGCAACATTCGGGCAGTGTGTGACGGTTTCATTGGCCGTTTGGAGGCCATAATTCGTGCCAAAGGTAACCAATTCGAACAAATCTAAACTTATTCTAAAAGTTGATGCTTTTTCCGAAATTTTTTGCGTTTATTCAATAAAATTAAAAAAAAAAAAATAAAAATTATTGCATTTAACTTCGTTGCAGTTTTTTTATCTCACCCTGTATTTTGAGAGGTCACCAGCCAGGCAAACGCCCTAAATAAATTAACTCTAAATGTTTCGAAATAGATGCCATCCAATTAGACAAAAAAATGTTATTTTGTTGAGATACGTTTTAGCCCTATCTACCCTCAAACTCTCCCTTGTAGCTGAGGATTATTATTTCATTATTTTTTTCCAAGTAACCACAAACTTTATATCTTCGACATGATATTAAAAGAAATGCGATTAAAACTATTCTTTAACTTAAACTTATTCCCAAACAGACACCCCCCCCCTAAAACTACCACTACTCATCACCATGGTCTCCACACAGATCGATCGTGATCTTCCATTAATTCCCTTTTCACCATATGTTCTGTTGTCAATTGCCGTTGCCGTCTATCTTGAAGATCACACACAGCCACTTCACTGCCGGCGATTGCAGGTGAAACATTGGCAATAATGGGTTTCTTGCTAAGCGGTAATCTTTGGTAATTTGCTGCTGCTGCTGTTGCTGATGATGCTGTTGTTACACGATTAGCCAAATAGGCTGATGAGGGTAGACGTGTTGCTACATTTGGTTGGTGGTTATGCGGAGCCATTGCATTTAGGCTGGGCGCATAACTTGTTATGTGTTGTATCAAATCACCGCCAAGTTGATGATCGAATTTATTCAAATACTGAGCCACTTCGGCGGCACAGTGTTGAAATCCAGCCCAAAATTTCTCCATATTTAGGGTATCGTTGTGTCGCACATAGAGCGCATTCTTTTCACGCAAACGCTGCAGATGTCGTACGGTTAGCTCGAGAATATCGGCTTTTTCCAGTTTCGATACGTTTTCGCCATCCTGAAAGTAGGAAAATAAAAATATTTAATAAAAAATTTACACAATTTATTTATTTTCTTGAATTAAAAAAATTCAGGGTAGGTGATCAAAAACGGAACTAAACTCTGCAAATAAACGCCGGAGGGAACATAACAAACTATTAGGGTGCTACTTTTAGACTTCTATAATTAAATAACTTTGGGCCTTTTGGTATATAATTTTTTTGTGGAGTGGAACTAGTATTTTAAAAATTCTCATTTTTATTATTTTCTGCCCAAAAGTTTGTCAGTTATTTAATATTTTGAAAAAAAAAAATATTTTAGCAATGATTATAAAACAATAAAGAATTTACTATATTTTCGAAATGATTGACGTAACCGTATACCATTTGATAGTGAAATTTATTTGATTTGAGGTTATGATCACAATCTTCAAAATACCGAAAGTTATGTTATAAAATAAGAAAGGTACAGCACATTTGCAATACCTAATATCTTAGGAGTAAAATATTGTGACTGTATAAGTTCGATACGTTCCACAACAACTTCCCGAGTCTAGTGAATAGTTTAGTTGTAATTAAAGAGATGAAAGGATGCTTTCTTTGAACGTTTTGTTTTTCAAAATCATGAACCCTATATGAGGGAGGTACTACAAGAAATGGACTCTTACATAACAAATTTTAAGACTTATAATTATTCAAAAAGTTGGCACTGATGCAAATATTGGGATTATCCTTTCTCTGGGCAGTAACACATTTGTTTTTTTGTTTTGAAAATTTAAACCCTTTATGGAGGATGTACTTGATAGAGTGGACCGATATTGTCCAATGTATTACCCTCTATGTGTTTGTGCAGTAACACATTATTATTATTTATTTATTTATTTATTTTTTTTTTTTTTTTTGATAATTTCGACCCTTTGAAGGTACCAGAAGATGTGGACCGATATTGCCTATTTCCAAACTTAATCAAAGTTTAATAATAATATTACTGTACCAAGTTTGGACTTTATTGGATTCTCCCTTCGACAGTTCTCGTGCGACAGACCGACGGACATCGCTAGATCGACTCCAAATGTCCTAAAATGGATTTGGTCTAAAGGGACCTAGGATCTTAAACAGTTATTGCGATGAGGCATCCTAGTCATATGGCTGAGGGTATTAAAAGTTAATATACCCTCCATCTTATAAAATCATAGGAACAAAAGTATCCGCATTTAATATCCGAATTCAATTTTGTTAGTGAAATCGATTGGCTAATTTTATTTACTTTTTTAACGAACATACAGAAACAATTTATTTTCACATGGATTGTTATTTTTGTCGGTCTATCCATGAATTTTTATAAACAAAGTGCAGTCCATTGGAGATGAAATTTTGCACAAGTCCTTTCTTTGGCCCGGAAATGAACCCGATTAGTGATTATAAGTCTAGATTTAGGCACAGCTCCCATTTCACATCTGCTTTGGGAATTAAATCTAGGACAGAATTAATTCGAAAAGAAGTGGTGTCGAAGTTTGTAAAAATCAGATCTCGCCATAACTCCCATATATTAATATAGCCGATTTAATATTTAAAATCCTAATATTCTCTACATAACATTGACAAGATATCAGATACACCTTGAAATATCCTTGCAAAATATAAGTTTTAGCCGTTTCGATAATTAAAACCCCAAATCTGCAGTATTCTCACCATATAAGCGACAAGATATTAGATTTACCCTAGATATATCCTTACCAAATTTAGATGTGACTCAAGCTCCCATATATATGTTTCATTCGATGTGATATTTGAATCCCCCAAATCCGTAATATGCATTCCATAACAACTATATTCGGTACATTATATCTGATATAGGCCAAAAATAAAAATCGGTCTTCGATATGGCAGAAATTTTTTTCTATAGGTCTACCTTTTTGTTCTGACCCTATATAACAGCACCTCCCGAAATTCGGTATTACAATGATCTCTGTCAAAATTTTCAATTGTAATATTGGCAGAAAATTATACTCTTTTCTAAATTCGGAATTCTTTGAAGTTTGATTTTTAAAGTTCGTAATGAAGGACACTTCCTGTATCTATTTAAGTCAGATTTTTTAATGGGATTTAAAGCTCGTATTAGTACCAATAACTCTAGCTGAGATGTGCCTATATAGCTATGATCCTCAATTTATCTAAGGTTTTCAATTTAATTTCGGGAAAGTTCTATTTTGATATATTACAGAACTTTCCCATATTTCATATTTTAATAATTTTATCTGCAGAAAACAAGTATCATTTTGCAATATTATGGATATATATCCTAAATTCGCCAATAAAAATTAATAGCTTCTTGCTAGTTTTAATATTGCAATGAATGATATACATCCTGAGATTACAATATTTTTAACAATTTAAAAAGCAGTAAGTTCGGCCGGGCCGAACTTTGAATGCCCTCCACCATTTGAACGAATTTGGAAATTTTCAAAAAATAAAAACCGTTAAAAATTCTTTTAAAATCTTAAAAATACCGAATATAGCCGTTATTTATACGACGTGGACCTACATTGTAGTCACAAGCCATTACCATACTCAAATTCGAAACTTGAAGTAAACGGTGAATAGCTCATCAAAATAACGTACATAAGAAGGTACCGCTACATCGGAGCTATACGAAGACCTGGACTTCTGTTTTTGATTTTCTGTTACAGCCTGCAGCATCCATTACGAACTTCAAATATGACATCTCAAACAATTTCGGTGAGTAATGCACCTAAAATCGTCAAAATACCGAATATCGGGAGGTACCGGCTTATAGGGGCTATATGAAGACGTTGACCTAAATGGCCCATATACGAACTTAACCTGCCTACTGACAAAATATACATGTGTGCAAAATTTTAGCCTTCTATCTCAATTCGTTCGAAAGATAGCGTGATTACAAAAGACAGACAGACAGATGGACATCGCTAAATTGACATAGAATTTTACGCTGATCAAGAATATGGTCTTACATGAGTACTTCGAGGAGTTACTAACGGAATGACAAAGTTAATATACCCTCTATAGTATGGCGGAGGGTATAAAAACTGTTAAGCATTCAAATATCCTAATATAATATTTTGACTCGATAAAAGCAAATTCCTAACATAAAATCATTAATATAAATTCAGTATTTGAAACTCTAGTAACAATACTACTACTTTATGTCTTACCAACTTATGGTAAGGTGTATAAAAAGTTCGGTACAACCCAGGTTACAAAATTATAAATGCCATCCAAAAATTTGGCTTCGCGTACTAAAGCGGTTATTTTCGCAAAAATGAATTTGTAAAATTCATTTAAATATTATTTCTACTCTATTAGAGAAAATTTAAATATTTGATTCTAAATATTGTCATAAATTTAAATCCTTTCCAAAATCAACGAAATTTATATCTTACAGCTGTACCCAACGATTTTATAGACAATATACCAGTCACATAATTTGCCTACAGAACACCGCTGCGTACGTTTCTTATTCCTTGATTTCTTGGAAGTATCCAATATTTAATCTGATTAATTTCAAAAGATATCAGAAATACTCATACTTTTGACGTGAAAAAATGTGACCTCTCTCAGTTCTGTATCCTTTTCGTATTTTATTCTTTACATGCCCTTAAATATTAACATTAATTAAACATACCGCTTGTAAGGTTCCGGTCATTAAATCCTTTAACTCATCCAGACACTTGTTAATCCGTGCGCGTCGTTTACGCTCCAGCATTGGCTTCATTATCTTGCGATATTGATAGGTGCGCGATACCGGCTCCATGGGCAGTGAATTTAACATGAATTGATGATTGGGTGGCATTCTGGCGGTGAAATTCATTCACTTTGTTTTAAATACACAAAAATAAATCACAAGACAACACAATTTTTTGGCACAACGTCTCTTAAAACAATTGAGTTTTATTTACTTTTTTAACTAAATTATGGAATAATTTTGGTAAGTCCACCAAAAACAATCACTTCTCTTTATTTGTTGCGAATATTAGTCGTATTTATTGTTAGAAGTAAAGTCTAACACTTTGGTAATTTGTTTTCTTTATATTTTAGCAGTATTTAGTTTTTTTTTTTGTTTTTTTTTCCTTTGGTTTTGTTTATGTTCCGTCTATGGGAGAATCAAAGAACCGTCTGTATTCACACGATACAACAACGAACGTCTTTACTTGAGCACGCTCTTCTAAGTAATGATCACGGCTTGATGGGACGACCATAATTTTATTTGGTGATCTACAAATGCACCACAGCTCAACATTGCCTCCCCTCTCTCCTTCTCTACCACAAATAGACAGACACTTGACAATGCGAGACAATGCTCCACCGCACACGAACGAAATCCCCAATTGACGTATCGTATTCGAGTGTGATCGCCCAGGCAGCGAGTGTTCGCCATAGACAACTGCTGCGATTTAAAGCTTCATTCAACTTAGGCCACGCGCTCAGTGCCACTCGTGTGTTAGGCGTGTATGAGTGATTGTTAAAAATAGGGTTGCCACTTTATAGTCATTTTTTACTGTAGAAAAAATACCTCATAAACTGAGTTTCGGGTTTTTTCTATAGAAAAAAATTAATCATTAACTGAGTTCCGGATTTTTTCTATAAAAAACTCATTTACTGCGGCCTAGATTTTTTCTATAGAAAAAATATACCTCAGTAACTGAAGCCTAGATTTTTTCTATAGAAAAAAATATACCTTAGTAACTGAGGTCCAGATTTTTTTCTACAGAAAAAAATATACCTCAGTAAATGAGGTCCAGATTTTTTTTCTATAGAAAAAATGGCCTCAGTAACTGAGGTCCAGATTTTTTTTTCTATAGAAAAAATGGCCTCAGTAACTGAGGTCCAGATTTTTTTTCTATAGAAAAAAATGGCCTCAGTAACTGACGTCCAGATTTTTTTTCTATAGAAAAAAATGGCCTCATTAACTAAGGTCCAGATTTTTTTCTATAGAAAAAAATGGCCTCATTAACTAAGGTCCAGATTTTTTTCTATAGAAAAAAATGGCCTCATTAACTGAGGTCCAGATTTTTTTCTATAGAAAAAAATGGCCTCATTAACTGAGGTCCAGATTTTTTTCTATAGAAAAAAATGGCCTCATTAACTGAGGTCCAGATTTTTTTCTATAGAAAAAAATGGCCTCATTAACGGAGGTCCAGATTTTTTTCTATAAAAAAAAATGGCCTCAATAACTGAGGTCCAGATTTTTTTCTATAGAAAAAAAATGGCCTCATTAACGGAGGTCCGGATTTTTTTCTATAGAAAAAAATTACCTCATTCATTGAGGTCCAGATTTTTTTCTATAGAAAAAAAAATGACCTCATTAAGTGAGGTCCGAATTTTTTTCTATAGAAAAAAAAAATACCTCAGTAACTGAGGTCCGGATTTTTTTCTTTAGAAAAAACCGCCTCAGTAACTGAGGTCCAGATTTTTTTCTATAGAAAAAAATATACCTCAGCAACTGAGGTCCGGATTTTTTTCTATAGAAAAAAATATACCTCAGCAACTGAGGTCCGGATTTTTTTTTTCTATAGAAAAAAATATACCTCAGCAACTGAGGTCCGGATTTTTTTCTATAGAAAAAAATATACCTCAGCAACTGAGGTCCGGATTTTTTTCTATAGAAAAAAATATACCTCAGCAACTGAGGTCCGGATTTTTTTCTATAGAAAAAAATATACCTCAGCAACTGAGGTCCGGATTTTTTTCTATAGAAAATAATATACCTCAGCAACTGAGGTCCGGATTTTTTTCTATAGAAAAAAATATACCTCAGCAACTGAGGTCCGGATTTTTTTCTATAGAAAAAATATACCTCAGCAACTGAGGTCCGGATTTTTTTCTATAGAAAAAAATATACCTCAGCAACTGAGGTCCGGATTTTTTTCTATAGAAAAAAATATACCTCAGCAACTGAGGTCCGGATTTTTTTCTATAGAAAAAAATATACCTCAGCAACTGAGGTCCGGATTTTTTTCTATAGAAAAAAATATACCTCAGCAACTGAGGTCCGGATTTTTTTCTATAGAAAAAAATATACCTCAGCAACTGAGGTCCGGATTTTTTTCTATAGAAAAAAATATACCTCAGCAACTGAGGTCCGGATTTTTTTCTATAGAAAAAAATATACCTCAGCAACTGAGGTCCGGATTTTTTTCTATAGAAAAAAATATACCTCAGCAACTGAGGTCCGGATTTTTTTCTATAGAAAAAAATATACCTCAGCAACTGAGGTCCGGATTTTTTTCTATAGAGGTCCGGATTTTTTTCTATAGAAATAGTAACTCAGGTCCGAATTTTTTTCTATAGAATAATCCACCTTTTCTTTTTCTATGTTACAAAAAATGTTTGGGCCAATTTTATATTCCATTAAATTTCAATACTTGTTGGCAATCATGTTTATCATGCGGTCGTTTTTGGCCGTTGCCTCTTGTAATTTAAGCGGCACGATCTTGTCAGCCAATAAGAAATCGTGGTATAAATGATGCCAAAACGAAGTCAAGTCATCGTGAACGAAGTGACCAACAAAACCGGTTGGTTAACCGTATTCTCTCTGGGGGTATCTGTGTGAATACAATCGCTTCGTAATGGTAGCATGGAAAATCACACAGACAGAATGTTGAATTGACACTTCGTCCGTTCCCAGCCGAAACTGTTGTTGTTGCAGCTGTGCTGCTGCTGCAAAAGGAGTAGCGGAGTATGAAATTTTATGAATGAAATTCTTTTAGCTCTCCACTGAGTCTGCGTTCTGTTGTTAATACAAAACATATGAGGATCGTGTGATCGTGCGATTTTGCTCAGTGGCAAAATAATAAAAACAAATAAACAAACAAAACAAATACCGTAAACAAATATGAAAATCTCATAACGCTTAACGATGCGAGGAAGCCGAGCATCAAGTGACAAAGTATGCTTACGCGTGATAATGACCATAATGATGACGACAATGAAATGATTATAGTTTATGTCAGTCCGACGGTCTCTCTCGTTCTCTGTCTGTCCACTTGGTGAATAATGATGGGAATGTATGATGTTTGTACGTATGTGTCGATGATGTTGGTCATATTGTCATGGGAAAAATCAGAAGGGTTTGTTGTCAGGCTATTTGCTAATTATGGAACGTTGAAGCTATGTGAAAAGATGAATGAAATTTGAAAATTCTGTCCCTACTACATAAGCCCTTGGGAGGCATTAAGGTCTGGGTGAATGTAATGGGATGTATTTACTCCGTGGTTGACAGAAATAGAATTATTTTCCATGGAAATTGTAAAATATTGCAATGTGGTTAAAAATTAATAATATTAATCGCTTTTCGATAACAGCATATACTAGTGTTATACATAACTTACTTAAACAAAATCATGCTGTCATTTGTTTTATATATATGGAGGGATACATTATTTCCAACTTCGTCCAATGTTGAAATTGTATAATTTTGTGAATTAAAATATCTTTAAGATCATCTTAATTTTTAATCAAAGTACAAAGGAAATTGTTTTTAGCTAAAGGGCTCACTTTCATTTGTTTCCTTTAGCCTTTTGGAGCTGGTTGTGTTATTCGTGTTTAAACGAGTGAAAAACTTAAGCATCTCAAAACAAAAATTGTAGTGAATTCCATCAAAGCAGTACAGTGGGTCAAAACGTAGTTATACTACTTAGTAACCTATATTTACCAGTTACAAGGTTCAGAAATAAGTTGATCATAACAGGAATTCTAATAATTTCATTGACATCGAATGTGCAATATCAGCCCAAAATGGGTGGATTTTGGAAAATAGGAGCAAATTGAAGCAAGTACATCAAATTTTGTGAAAATCAGCACAGATACAGCTATAGCTACGGGGAATTTTTCATCTCTTACGATTTTTCAAAATGTTCAACTTTTTCTGTGCTAAAGAAAATCTTTTTGAGTTTTGCCTTGTTAAGGCGAAGATCATATGTTTTTATGATTTAAGTGTTTGTTTTCTCTTTCGAGACGAGCTTAATGATCTGAAATTTGCAGTGAAAAGGAAAGCCAGACAGACACTATCACACACTCACCACTATGCGACGCGTTTCGCCGTTGGTTAAGCGGCTCATCAGGCATATTTGATGTGGATGATGGCTTACAAGGGCCGTTCTCTGGAAAGTAGTATATATTTCGAACTTATTGCAAATTAGCATATGCGAATTATACACTAGAAACTCTCCAGGTTCGACTCAAGCCTTGTAAGCCATCATCCACATCAAATATGCCTGATGAGCCGCTTAACCAACGGCGAAACGCGTCGCATAGTGGTGAGTGTGTGATAGTGTCTGTCTGGCTTTCCTTTTCACTGCAAATTTCAGATCATTAAGCTCGTCTCGAAAGAGAAAACAAACACTTAAATCATAAAAACATATGATCTTCGCCTTAACAAGGCAAAACTCAAAAATTCAGCCGAGCCTGGCTGTGGGATTTGAACCGCGGACCTCTGTGTGCAGCCAACTAGAAGTTGCCGTCTCTACGTTCAGAGCCATTAACCCGTCTTCCTAAAGCAGCACTAAAACAAGTGTATGCATTGGAAGCAATGTAGTTGTTGTGGACAAAAAATCCATCACTACAAAAACAAAACGTTGCTGTGAAAAAGATCTGCCAATAGAACTTGAGTCGAACCTGGAGAGTTTCTAGGGTATAATTCGCATATGCTAATTTGCAATAAGTTCGAAATATATACTACTTTCCAGAGAACGGCCCTTGTAAGCCATCATCCACATCAAATATGCCTGATGAGCCGCTTAACCAACGGCGAAACGCGTCGCATAGTGGTGAGTGTGTGATAGTGTCTGTCTGGCTTTCCTTTTCACTGCAAATTTCAGATCATTAAGCTCGTCTCGAAAGCGAAAATCTTTTTAATTTTTATTTTTGACAGAAATATATGAGCGAAACTGAGATTTGAATGAACTCACATTAAGAACGGCTTTAACACTAAAATTTGTTTTTATGCCCCCACCATAGTATGGAGGGTATATTAAGTTTGTCATTCCGTTTGTAACACCTCGATATATACACTTTAGACCCCACAAAGTATATATATTCTTGATCAGCATAAAATTCTATGTCGATTTAACAATGTCCGTGCCTCTGTCCGTCTGTGGCAATCACTCTAGCTTCCACACGAAATGAAGTAAGTTGATAAAAATTTACTCAAATGTATATTATGTCCGCAGGACTTTTGGTATTGAAAATGGGCCATATAGGTCCACATCTTCGTATAGCCCCTATAAAACGGTACCTCCCGATTTGCGGTATTTTGATGATTTTAGCGACATTATTTACCGGAATTGTTTCAAATTTGGTATTCGAAGTTCTTAATGGATACTACAGCATAAGATAGAAAATGGACCATGTAGGTCCACGTCTTCGTATA